GAGATTTGCTTGAGCCCAGAAGTTTGACAACAGTCTGGACAACATAATGAGATACACAAAAATAAAAATTGAGCTGGGTGTGGTGGCACAAGTTTGTGGTCTTAGCTACTCAAGAAGCTGAGGTGAGAGGACCATTTGAACCCAGGGAGTTGAGGCTATATTGAGCCATGATCACACCACTGTACTCCTTGGAGAAAAGGAAGACCCTGTCTCTCTCTCTCTCAAAAAATATTTTTGTTGTGAATTTTGATTGTAGACTTTGTGGCTTCTGAGTACAACAACAATATGTCAGAATTATCGCTTCAGATAACATGCTATTAACTGTTTTTCTTCTTTTCTACCATCAGGAGAAAGCAGTTCAGCAATTTCTACAGAAGACCTAAAAGAATGTCTGAAGAAACAATTAGAATTCTGTTTTTCACGGTACTTCATTTTATATTGCTGTTTATCCTTTATTGAATTTGATTAGTAGATGTAAAATATGTGTGAAATAGAGTGCAAGGAAAGTGATTATTATTTTCTTTTAAGGATGTGTTTCGTATTATTGTTGAGTATATTTAACTAGATTTTATTTTTTGAGATACAGCCTTGCACTGTTGCCTGAACTGGAGTACAGTGGTGCAATCTCAGCTCATTGTAACTCCCACCCCCCCACCCCCAGCTTCAAGAGATTCTCATCTCTTAGCTTCCCAAGTAGCTGGAATTACAGGCGTGCAGCCTCCATGCCCGGCTAATTTTTGTATTTTTAGTAGAGATGGGGTTTTACCATGTTGGCCAGGCTGGTTTCAAATTCACAACTTCTAGTGACCCACACTCCTCTGCCTTCCAGAATGTTGGGATTACAGGCATGAGCCACCACACTTGGCCTCTTAATTAGATTTAAAAGTGTAGTCTTCAATTTGATATGCAGAGGATCTGTTCTTTATATAAAGATAATGAAATTTCCATTGGATGTTTTTTCAGTGAACATTATCAGTCTTGGAGTTGTCAAAAAAAAGCAGCTATTTCTTAATTTATGTTTTAATAGTTGATTCTTATAATGTTAATCATAGAGTTATTTTTGGCAAAATAGTAAGGAGTTGGATAGAGAATTTATATTGCCAGTGTCTTCTATTAAATAAAGAGTCGTTTCAGGTAAATCTTTGGAGAAGTCTTTTTTTTTTTTTGAGACAGAGTCTTGCTCTGTTGCCAGGCGTTAGGCTGGAGTGCAGTGGCTGATTTCGGCTCACTGCAACCTCTGCCTCCTTGGTTCAAGTAATTCTCCTGACTCAGCCTCCCGAATAGCCGGGACTACAGGCATGAGCAACCACACCCAGCTAATTTTTGTATTTTAGTAGAGACAGGGTTTCCCTGTGTTGGCCAGGATGGTCTCGATCTCTTGACCTTATGATCCTCCTGCCTCGGCCTCCCAAAGTACTGGGATTACAGGCATGAGTCACTGTACCCGGCTTGGAGAAGTCTTATTTACAGATAAGAATTATTGGGAAGGGGGCAAAAAAAAAAATTATTATTGGCTGGGTACAGTGGCTCATGCCTATAATCCCAGCACTTTGGGACTCCAAAGTAGGCGGATAACTGGAGGTCAGTAGCTTGAGACCAGCCTGGCCAAGATGGTGAATCTGTCTCTACTAAAAATACAAAAATTAGCCAGGCTTAGTGATGGGCGCCTGTAATCCCAGCTACTCAGCAGGCTGAGGCAGAAGAATCACTTGAACCTGGGAGGCAGAAGTTGCAGTGAGTTGAGATCATGGCTGGCCTCCAGCCTGAGCAACAAGAGTGAGACTCCATCTCAAAAAAAAAAAAGTAATAGTTACTTTAGCCTATACTTTGGGAGGCTAAGGTGCGTGGATCATCTGAGGTCAGGAGTCCGAGACCAGTCTGGCCAAGATCACAAAACCCCATCTCTACTAAAAATACAAAAATTAGTCAGGCAGGGTAGCAGGTGCCTGTAATTCCAGCTACTTGGGAGGCTGAGGCAGGAGAATCACTTGAACCCAGGAGGTGGAGGCTACAGTGACCTGAGATCATGGCTAGCCTCTAGCCTGGGCGACAAGAATGAGAATCCATCTCAAAAAAAAAAAAAAAGAATAACAATAAGATATATGTAATAGTTACTTTAGCCTGTACTTTGGGAGGCCAAGGTGGGTGGATCACCTGAGGTTAGGAGTCTAAGACCAGCCTGGCCAAAACTTCGTCTCTACTAAAAATACAAAAATTAGCTGGGTATGATGGTGTGCACCTGTAGTCCCAGCTACTGGGAGGCTGAGGTGGGAGAATTGCTTCAACCCAGGAGGTGGAGTTTTCAGTAAGCTGAGATCACACCACTGCACTCCGGTCTGGGTGAATTTTACACCTACTAACTGGATTGTTTATGGATCTGCTTATATTGTCAGGGTTTCTTCTCTTGAATTATCTGTCATAATTAACTGCCTTTTTGTATGTCTTGTAAATTTTGATGGTATGCAGTACATTACATACAAAAGAAGCATAGAAGCTGCAGGTGATATAATTAGACAGAGTTTGAGCTTTCTTTTTGTTAGGCAGAGAGTGAAACGTTGATTGCTTCAATCCAATGAGGAATTGAGCTAGATCAGGGCTGAGCAACCATTTTAATTAGACTCAATTCACCTTTGATTTAGCTCTATTCCTTCTACGTGGCCCTTTCTTTCAGGCTTTTGATTTAGAGCTTGGCAATTTTTATTTTGTAAGCTCCTCATCTTACAAAATAAAGGAGATTTAGATCTCTAATATAGAGGTTTGAGATTTAGATGTTTTAACTTCTTACCCCATACTACTTGAAAATTGGCAATGTCTTAAGGGGGAGACTGCATTTGCAGCATTTTTGCTTGCATCTTTTCAGACTATCTCCTATCTTTCCCCTTAAAACTCAGGGAACATCATATTGGGAAAATCAGCTGTGTTGGTGGCTCCCTTAATTTTAATTCATAATTTTAGTTCTGTGCCCATTACACATACCACATATTTACACACAACTGCCTAGAGATCTGCTGGCTGGTTTCTCTATTGTCCAGTAGAGTCTGAGTTAAGATCTGCAAATGCTCTTGGGAAAGAAAGATCTTCCTTTTGGGCATTTTAGTCCTTTAGTGATTGAAGCTTCCACAGTTCTTCCACATCTGCAAACACATGATTTTTTGTAGTTTATCCAAGCTTTTTTAGTTGTTGCAGTGGGAGTTCCTACTGATCATGATCCATCACATCCTACTCAAGACTGTGATCTGGTTTGAACCAGTTGGGTAATTGACATTTGTAGCTCAGCAAAATTGCCCTTAATATATATCAGGTATTAATAAAAAATAAATAATAAAATATAATAAGAAAAGCGAAAAATACATATTAGATATTATTCATGAATAGTCAAATCTTAGATGTTATGTCCATTAATTTGATTTATTTCTGATAAGGTACAGTTTCTTTAGCCATGAGTTTTGAATTACTGTGTAAGAATAGACCTGCTAAATTTCAGAGTTCATTTAGGCTATAGCTTTTTAGTTTTGTAAAGATCATGTCTACAGTTGTCTTATTTTCAGATTCTTTTCTTTTTTGGCTCACTGCAACCTCCACCTCCCAGGTTGAAATGATTCTCCTGCCTCAGCCTCCCGAGTAGCTGGGCTTACAGGCACCCGCCACGACACCCAGCTAATTTTTTGTATTTTTAGTAGAGACAGGTTTCACCACGTTGGCCAAGCTGGTCTTGAACTCCTGACCTCAGGTGATCCGCCCACCTCAGCCTCCCAGAGTGCTGGGATTACAGGCATGAGCCGTGTCTGGCCAACACATTACTGATGGAACAAAAAAGATCCTCATGGTACCTGTATTCTGACTGGGGAAACACAAAACAAACATAATAAATTAACAACTCAGAAGTATGTTAGGTGATAAGTGCTATGGGAAAAAATTAAATGCAAGTACAGATATCAGGAGTGCCTGGGTGGTCACAGTTTTAAATAGGATGGTTCAGTACTCTTTGAGAAGGGGGCTTATAAGCAAAAACTATCAGCTATTTATAGCCAGACTGCTTCAAAGGATATTTGATGTGAATAGCAAGGTGTGAATTTGATTTTACTTAAGTTTATTAAACAGATTTTGTGTGTAAGATGCAAGTGTTTGCATCTTTTTTTAAAATGTGCCTTAAAGAATCTTTTGTGTTAATATTAAATATGTATTTTTTTATTTTTATTTTTTGAGATGGAGTTTCACAGTGGTGTGATCTTGGCTCACTGCAACCTCTGACTCCCTGGTTCAAGTGATTCTCCTGCCTTAGCCTCCTGAGTAGCTGTGATTACAGGCCCCTGCCAGTAAACCCGACTAATTTTTTTTGTTGAGGCGGAGTCTTTGTCACCCAGGCTGGAGTGCAGGGGCTCCATCTTGGCTCACTGCATCCTCTGCCACCTGGGTTCAAGCAGTTTTCCTGCTTCAGCCTCCAAGTCACTGGGATTACATGTGCGCGCCATCACGCCCAGCTAATTTTTGTGTTTTCAGTAGAGATAGAGTTTTGCTGTTGGCCAGGCTGGTCTCAAACTGACCTCTGGTGATCCTCCCACCTCGGCCTCCCAAAGTACTGGATTACAGGCCTGAGCCACCAAACTCTGCCAATTTTTTGTATTGTTAGTAGAGGTAGGGGGGGTTCTTTTTTCTTTTTTTTTTTTTAGACAGAGTTTCACTCTTGTTACCCAGGCTGGAGTGCAATGGCACGATCTCGGCTCACTGCAACCTCTGCCTCCTGGGTTCAGGCAATTCTCCTGCCTCAGCCTCCTGAGTAGCTGGGATTACAGGCACACGCCACCATGCCCAGCTAATTTTTTGTATTTTTAGTAGAGATGGGGTTTCACCATGTTGACCAGGATGGTCTCGATCTCTTGACCTCGTGATCCACCCGCTTCGGCCTCCCGAAGTCCTGGGATTACAGACCTGAGCCACGTTGCCCAGCCAGTGTGTGCATTTTTATAAGCGTGTTTGATTTACGTAATTTTTTTTTCAGAGTCCATGAGGCATTTTATTTGTATATATATGTATTACATCCCTAGAAAAAGAATCCCAGGATTTTCCCTCCTGTGTGTTTTTGTCTTGCTTCTTCAGGGTCCATGATGCCAGCTGAGGTTGTCAGTACAATGAAACCAAACTAGCGGGATTGAAGCAGATTATTCTGCCATTTTTCTAGGTCTTTGAGTTGCACATCAAATCTGCGGCTGATCACTCCACACTTGTTTAGCTTGCGTGTGAGGTTCATAACAATTTTCTCAGCTGTGTGATTATCAGTGATTTCAAATTCGCCAATGTAACCATGCTCCATCATCACAGTGAGAAACCGGATGATGACTTTGGAGCATGGCCTAATAAGCACCCGGCATTTGCTTTTCTTTTCGGCATTGTTGATGTTCTTGAGAGCATCAGCGAGGACATTCATGTGCACCATTGCGGCGGCACATGAGGACTTAAATCATTTAAAACACATATTTTGGCCAGGCTCAGTGGCTCACACCTGTAATCCCAGAACTTTGGGAAGCTGAGACAGGTGGATCACCTGAGGTCAGGAGTTTGAGACCAGCCAGGCCAAGATGGGAAACCCTTTCTCTACTAAATACAAAAAATTAGCTGGGCTTGGTAGTGCATGCCTATAATCCCAGCTACTTGGGAGACTGAGGGAAGAGAATTGCTTGACCGCAGGAGGCAGAGGTTGCAATGAGCTGAGATAGCGCCATTACACCTCCAGCCTGAGCAACAAAAATTAAGAAATAGAAAATCTGAGCGCAGTGACTCACGTTTGTAATCACAGCACTTTTGGAGACTGGCCTGCGGATCACGAGATCAGGAGTTTGAGACCAGCCTGACCAACGTGGAGAAACTCTGTCTCTACTAAAACTGCAAAAGTTAGCTGGGCGTGGTGGCGCATGCCTGTAATTCCAGCTACTTAGGAGGCTGAGGCAAGAGCATTGCTTGAACCCAGGAGGTGGAGGTTGCAGTGACCCGAGATCATGCCATTGCACTCCAGCCTGAGTGACAGCAAGACTCTGTGTCAAAAAAAAAAAAGAAATAGAAAATCCTTCATGAGTTAGTTCATAGTTGAGCTACAGTTTTTATCATGCACATTCTAATATCACTGATGAAGTATTTATAAGATGGGAATATGCTATATGTAATGTTTTGTTAAAATGCTACTTGTAGTATTAAGCCTATTCATATATCAATATAATTAATTGTCCTCTGTTGTGCTAGATGTGTTTGGGAATTTAGATACTGTAAAAGTTATATTAACTAATGTATATATATTACATTAGTGTCTTTTGAACTTTTAACAGCTTTTGTGAGTTCACTGAAAAGTTTAGTGTTATTAATCTTATTTCCATGCATTTAAAAAGTAAGAAAAGTTAATAAGATACCTCTTCTCATTAGGTGCTTTTTAATAATTGCTTGTTTTATAGGACTATTGCTTTTGTTTATTCTTTTCAGAGAAAATTTGTCAAAAGATCTTTACTTGATATCTCAAATGGACAGTGATCAATTCATCCCAATTTGGACAGTTGCCAACATGGAAGAAATAAAGAAGTTGACTACAGATCCTGATCTAATTCTTGAAGTGTTAAGATGTATGTAAAAATACCTTTTAGCTTGTGTTTTTTTTTTTTAATTTTACAAATTACATGTATTTTGACTTCTGATCATATAGAGAATTGTTTTTTACTGCCCCAACCCCTTTATTTTGTTGTTTTGTTCCAAATTCTCTTTATTTTTTGGGTATGGGACAGGGTCTTGCTCTGTTACTCAGGTGGTAGTATGGTGGTGCAAATCGAAGCTCACAATAGCCTCTAACTCCTGGGCTCAAGCCATCCTTCTTCCTTTTTTTTTTTTTTTTTTTTTTTTTTTTTTGGAGACAAAGTCTTGCACTGTGGCCTGGGCTGGAGTGCAGTGGTGCAGTCTCCCCTCACTGCAGCCTCTGCCTCCTGGGTTCAAGCAATTCTCCTGCCTCAGCCTCCCAAGGAGCTGGGATTACAGGCGCCCATCACCACGCCCAGCTAATTTTTTTGTATTTTTAATAGAGAGGAGGTTTCACTATGTTGTTCAGGCTGGTCTCGAACACCTGACCTCGTGATCCACCTGCCTCGGCTTCCCAAAGTGCTGGTATTATAGGCATGAGCCACCATGCCCCAGCCTTTATACATAATCTTCTGTCGCAATTCTGCACCTTGGTTGGTCAGCATCATGCTTACTTAAGAATTAGCCAGGACGTATAATCACAGCTACTTGGGAGGCTGAGGCAGGAGAATCACTTGAACCCAGGAGACAGAGGTTGCAGTTAGCCGAGATGGCGCCACTGCACTCCAGCCTGGGCGACAGAGCGACTCCATATCAAAAAAAAAAGAAATTTCTTTTCAATTAAATTTAATTTAAGTCTCATTTTTCTGGACTGTTAGATATTATTATCACACAACCTTTAAAAAATTATTACATTCCTTAGAATAGTGTTTTGCTAATGAAAATATGATAATTTCTGTTAATATCCAGTTTATCTATCCAATTGTTATCTCAACGAAGAATTTGGTTATTGTATAAAAGAAATTTGCCAGGCCGGGCGTGGTGGCTCACGCCTGTAATCCAAGCACTTTGGAGGCCAAGGCGGGTGGATCACCTGAGGTCGGGAGTTCAAGACCAGCCTGACCAACATGGTTAAACCCCATCTTTAAAAAGAAAAAAAAAAAGAAAAAGAAATTTGCCTTATTAGATACATGTTTTATGCTCCCTGAAGGCAGTGTCAAAGTTACAGAGTAAGTACTCTGAATATTTTTTCAGTGAATAACATTTGACAGTGTTCTTTTTACATATAAATCTCAAAAAAAATTGTCATACCAGGCCAGGCACAGTGGCTCACGCCTATAATCCCAGCACTTTGGGAGGCCGAGGCGGATGGATCACGAGGTCAAGAGATTGAGACCATCCTGGTCAACAAGGTGAAACTCCGTCTCTACTAAAATTACAAAAATTAGCGGGGCATGGTGGTGCGCACCTGTAGTCCCAGCTACTTGGGAGGCTGAGGCAGGAGAATTGCTTGAACGCAGAAGGCGGAGGTTGCGGTGAGCCGAGATCGTGCCATTGCACTCCAGTCTGGGTAACAACAGCGAAACTCCGTCTCAAAGAAAAAAAAAAAATTGTCATACCTATAATCTTTGATTCTACAATTTAGTTTCTTTAGAATATTAACACAACATCTGCAAATTTACTCAGTTGGAAAGTAAATTGAATAGTTTTTTAATGGCATTAATAATATCACTACTTGTCACTTTTTCTTTCTTTTTTTTTTCCAGTAATGGCTATAAGCAGTACTGTCACTTTTGAATGATACGCTTTCTTTTAAATTTTAGCTTCTCCCATGGTACAAGTTGATGAGAAGGGTGAGAAAGTGAGACCAAGTCATAAGCGTTGTATTGTAATTCTTAGAGAGATTCCTGAAACAACACCAATAGAGGTAAGTTATTAATCATTGTTAACACTAAAAGTTCTCTGTTTAAATTGGAAGAGGTTTCTCCTGCCTTTCGTGGGAAAGAAAAACAAATTGGAAGAGGTACACAAGCAAAGTGTAAGCCAATGCCTTCATCAATTACTGTGTGTTAATTTGTTTCATTAATCCTGAAATACTAGAATGATATAGAGGAATGAAAAGATATAATTCTGTTTTCTTAGAAGAGTAGACTAAATATTGCAGTGAAACTAATTCTGAATTTGCTAGATTGATTTCATGACAACTAATATATAAATAGACTAGTTTGGGATCTTGAGAATTCATCTGTAAGAATGAATGAAAAACTAGATTTTGATTAAGGTTTAAGGAGGCAGGATTAACCCTGTTGTTCAGCAAAATATTATATAAAGCAAATTTGGCGGTCATAAAGATGGTGTGGTACAGGTACCAGAATAAAATAATATTTGAATGAAACATAATAAATTTGACAGTTAGGCTCCACTAGCTATTATGTACTTCACAGTTATTTAAAGCCAAAGGCTTTACTATCTGTTTTACTGATGAAGTAACTGATTGTTAGAATGGTTAAGTAGCTTGCTCAAGGATACATGGGCTCTTAAATGATAGGAGTTTGAGTGTCAACATGATTGCTCTGATCTGAATCCCATATCATAATCACTTACTGCAGAGCTTCATATTAAGTTCCCACGATATACATTAAAGAAGATGAGGATTAATTAGTAACTGACATTGTAATTTATTAGCCATTTAGAATAGAATTTTATTTTACTTTTTTTGAGACCAGGATCTCAGTCTGTCACCTGGTAGAGTGCAGTGGCACAGTCATGGCTTACTGTAGTCTTGACCTTACGGGCTCAAGCGATCCTTGCACTTCAACCTCCTGAGTAGTTGGGACTACTGACACATACCACCATGCCTGGCTAATTTTTGTACTTTTTTGTAGAGATTGGGTTTTGCCTTGTTGCCCAGGCTGTTCTCAAGCTCCTGGGCTCAAGTGATCTGTGCACCTCAGCCTCCCAAAGTGCTGGAATTACAGGTGCAAGCCACTGTGCCCACTACGTTATTGTTTTTATAATTATAACAATTCATATTCTGAATACATAAAGAGTTCATACACATAAAAACAGATAAGGCTGGGCATGGTGGCTTACACCTGTAATCCCAGCACTTTGGGAGACTGAGGCGGGTAGATCACCAGGTCAGTAGATCAAGACCACCTTGGCCAACATGGTGAAACCGTGTCTTTAAAAAAAAAAAAAAGTTAAAAAAAAAAAGGCATCAAATGTTTTGTTGGGTTTTCAAGGAGTTTTTGTTTTTGCTTCTTTTAAATTTTTTTTTTCCATGTTGAAAAAGAAATTTTTCCTCAATCAATGGTTTCCTGAGACGGGGCCTTGCTGTGTCGCTGAGGGTGGAATACAGTGGTAGGATTGTAGCTCATTGCAGCCTCAAACTCCTTTGCTCAAGCCATCCTCCACCTCAGTGTCCAAAGTAGCTGTGACTACAGGTGCCCACCACCACACCCAGCCAACTTTTAATTTTTTTTGTAAAGATGTATCTGGCTGTGTTGCCCAGGCTCGTCCTGAGCTCAAGAGATTCTCCCACCTCAGTCTCCCAAAGTTCTGGGATTTATAGTAGTGAACCGCTGAGCTCCCAGGCTGCATTTGACCTTTGCTATTTCAGTAGATATGTTCTTTCCTTCTTTTACTTCTTTTTTTTGAGCCTGAGTCTCACTCTGTCACCTGGGCTGCAGTGCAGTTGTATGAACTAGGCCCACTGCAACCTCTACCTCCTGGGTTCAGGCAATTCTCTTGCCTCAGCCTCTCAAGTAGCTGGGATTACAGGTGCCTCCCACCACACCTGGCTAATTTTTTTTTTTTTTTTTTTTTTTTTGTATTTTTAGTAGAGACAAGGTTTCACCATGTTAGCCAGAATGGTCTCGATCTCCTGACCTCATCATCCTCCTGCCTCAGCCTTCCAAAGTGCTGAGATGACAGGTGTGA